TGTTAGAACTCAATTATTATCTTAATTATGTTTTAGATTTTTCATATTTAAAATAAAATATTTATATTGTATTTGATTATGTTTATTCACAGTTACACGAATTTAAACATGTAGTTTTAATAAGTTGTACTTATGCATAGTTTATTTGTAATTTTAAATTTTAAGTATTATATATCAATAAACAGTACTTCATGCATTAAAATGCTTTAAGATTTTTTGTCAAATACTTCATAATATAGTATATAGATATTAGTTAATTTAATTATATGTGGCGGTCTTCTATTAAGAACTTCGTAATCTATTTAAGAAACCTTAAAATCTACTATAAACCACACATTATATAAAGTTAAGAGTAAAATTAGAAAAATTTGAAAAGTTTTACTTATTTTTTTTAAAAAAAGGATTGTAAATATTTTACAATCCCTTCTCTGTCCTCGTAAGAAAGATATGGTCCCTTAATCAATTTCAAATGGATTGAGTATAATACAAGTATTGGTCCGATGTATTTCATCATTCTTAATCATCGATTATAATTAATCTAAGGATGAGGTTGATTCTCGCTATTCTCATTATAACTTTTATTCTCCACATAAACAACCAATTAAATTTAAATACATAAGTATGTATGTATTTAACCATGGTCAAAATCTTGGTAAAATTCATGCGATGGAAGTGAGGGCACAGAATACCTACGTATGCAAACACACCAAATTACTGTTTTGACGTTGACTCTTGCCACGTCATGGTCCAATCTCTTGACTCCACGTCACCATTCTTCACTTCCTTCTCCGACGGCTCCGATCACTTCATCGCATATCATCCGACGGACGATTCACCTTCTTCCAGACCCTTCTAATAAGATTTTGTCGTCTTTTTAGTTTGTTAAAAATTACAGACTGAAATTATTTTTATCGTTAAATATGATAGAAGAAAAGAATAATAAATAATAAACTAAAATAACAAAAAACAATGAATTATATTTACATTCGACGAAAACAATAATTTCAACAAAACAATAATTTCAACAAAACCACGTTCTTGACTCCAAGATTTTATTAAACTAAAATTTTATATAATTGTTTCATTTGTATTTTTATTTGATAAAAAAATATTTATTTATATAAGATATTTTATTAAAAAAATATATAAGATTAAATATGGTAACAAGGGTTGGTTAACTCACCCATTTTTACATCTAGACCTCTATATAGATACGGTGAGAGAGGGAGAGACTGAGGAGTGAAGAGTGATACATCTCGGAGGTGGAACAAGAAGAAGAAAAAAGGGTCTCTGGTTTTCTTTTCTATGTGATTATTTATGGAAAAACCCACCCTTTTTTCATTTATGTTATCTCTCTGATTGATTCTGTTATCCGGATCTTGATTGGATTCTCGTTTACTTTGGGTTCTTGCTCTGTTGCAGTCCGGTAGATCTGGTTCTCCGGTGAGTTCCGGTTTTCGTTTCTATGTGATTTCTTAAGAGAAAACCCACCCATTTTTCGTTTATGTTTTCTTTCTGATTGATTCTGGTATACAGATCTTGATTGTTTACTTTGGGATCTTGATCTGTTACAGTCCGGCAGATCTGGTTCTCCGGTGAGTTTTTTACTTAGGATTTTTGTTCTTTTTGATATTCCCCATTTGGGTTGGCCTCGACCTTGTTGTTTGTTAGCATAATCTTGATGGGGTCGTCTGATTGTTTCTTATTATCGTGTGGATGTTTTTGTGTACAGATTAGGGGAAAAAGGCATTGATTTGATTCAACCAGATGGGTGGTGTCAAATCTGAACCCCATTTTGGTGTTTGATGATTCTTTAATAATCTGCGAATAGTTTGCAACCAGCTTCTGGGTTTGGCTCACTTTTGAAAGTGAAAGAGGAAGAATTCATCTTCCCCTGCCAATGCCATCTCGTTAGCTACGTGCAAAAAAACGTCACTTCCTTTCCTTAATTGCTTCATCTCTCATACACTGGAGAACCCAGTTCAAACCCAAATGGCTGTAGCAGTTTTTAAGAGTTCCTTAGGTAGGGAGTACCATGGAAATGATAGGATGGAAGGGGTGAAACATACGGGAAGGAGACGGGTTTTTGTTCAAACTGAATCCGGTTGTGTGTTGGGAATGGAACTAGATCGAAACGATAATGCTCACATGGTCAAAAGAAGGTTGCAGATTGCTCTTAATGTTCCGATTGAAGAGAGTTCTTTAACTTTTGGAGATATGGTGTTGAAGAATGACCTTAGCGCCATTCGTAACGATTCCCCTCTTCTTTTAACAAGAAATCTCTTGCATAGAAGTTCATCGACTCCATGTCTGTCACCCAGCGGTCGGGATACTCAACAGAGAGATCGGAGTGGTCCTATCGAGATCTTGGGGCATTCTAATAGGTTCTTAATAACGAAAGAGATGGTTGACGAGATCGTGAAGGCTCTGAAGATCGGTGTTGATCCGATCCCAGTTCATGGTGGGCTTGGAGGTGCTTATTATTTTCGAAACAGTAGAGGTGAGAGTGTGGCAATTGTGAAGCCGACAGATGAAGAGCCGTTTGCGCCTAACAATCCAAAAGGGTTTGTGGGTAAAGCTCTCGGTCAACCGGGATTGAAGCGCTCGGTTCGTGTAGGAGAAACCGGTTTCCGAGAGGTGGCTGCTTACCTTCTTGATTATAACCACTTTGCTAATGTACCTCCTACTGCACTTGTTAAAATTACCCACTCCATTTTCAATATTAATGATGGCGTAAGTGGGACTAATAACAACACCTGCAAGCCCGAGAGGAAGAAAAAACATTTTAGCAAGATTGCTTCATTCCAGCAGTTTATCCCTCATGATTTCGATGCTAGCGACCATGGGACGTCGAGTTTTCCTGTATCTGCTGTTCATCGTATTGGGATATTAGATATAAGGATCTTTAACACAGATCGGCATGCTGGGAATCTGCTAGTTAGAAAGCTTAATGATGGTGAGAATGGGAAATTTGGTGAAGTTGAACTGATTCCCATTGATCATGGCCTATGCTTGCCGGAAAGTTTGGAAGATCCATATTTTGAGTGGATTCATTGGCCACAAGCTTCAATCCCGTTTTCAGAGGATGAGCTCGAGTACATTGAAGCTCTTGATCCGTATCGTGACTCAGAGATGCTGAGAAACGAGCTTCCAATGATCCGAGAGGCCTGTCTACGTGTTCTGATTCTCTGCACCATTTTCCTCAAAGAAGCTGCTGGTTGTGGGCTGTTTCTTGGTGAGATTGGTGAGATGATGAGCCGTGAGTTTCGCCGTGGGGAAGAGGAACCCAGTGAGCTCGAGGTGTTGTGTATGGAGGCAAGGAGGATGGTAACCGAGAGGGAGAAAGAGGTGTTTGTGTTGTCTCCTAAAACCCAAGTGCAGGAAGATGGTTTCTTGTTTGAAATCGAAACCGATGATTCTGGGTTCGACATCTCCCCTAAATTATCGACTGTTCTTCCTTTCAACTTTGGATTTGGAAGAAACCCACTTTCTAAACTCGAAGAAACCATGGAAGAAGAAGAAGAAGATGATGAGAATGAGGATGAAAATGAAGCGGAAGATGGAGGAAAGTTATCAAATCTATCGATGACGCTGAAGAAAAACTTGAGTTTAGGTTGTGATTATGGTAGTAGTAAAGGGTATGTGGCAGTAAAGTCATCAGGGGGGCAGAGGAGTGCCGGTGAGCAGCTTCCGGCGGGGGCTAACTTTGTGAAGGTGGCGGAGATGGAGGAGGAGGAATGGGGGGTGTTTTTAGAGAAGTTTCAGGAGGTGGTGAGGCCTGCATTGGCACAGAGGAAGTCCGGCAGGCTGCAGAGACAGAGGCTGGGCACTTCTTGCCGGTTTTGAGAGGCTCTGTAGGGTGTTTTTAGGGGTTGTATGAGTTTGACTTTTTCATAGTTTGACCTGCAAGTTGTTGTGTTGGTTTTTAGGGTTTTAAGGTTCTTTTTTTTAATTTATTTAGTCAATGTGGACTTGTTGTATAAATAATTTGTAAATGAAAAAATAAATAATGAAGATAGTATGTTGTGGCTTTCTGATGAAACCAATGATGATAAAAAACCATGTTATAAAATGGGTGTTGTTAAAATGTATAATTATATATTAGAAATGAAGAAAATACCATTTGATGTTGATGTGTATGAACTATGACGATGTTACATTTTAGAACATACGTTTATTTAGGGGTCATTTACTAAACATTTACCTTAGTAAGCATTTAACGATTCAATTACCTTATAGAGTAAACATAACAATGATCGAGAATATTACCCGGTAAAAAGAGAAGGATTGAGCGTCTTACCGACAAATGAGGGTGGTTACTCTTATTGGTCTTATAAACGCTTATTATTAATACAATTTGATGGCTGAGAATGTTAGCCCACAAGGTAAATGAGAGGTGAATCTTGTTGGTAAATACTTATCCAATAAGCATTTGATAAACGACCTTTTTTAATCTTTCTTTGCGATCGAGTGTGTTTAAAGTGATCTGCTTTAAGTGTTGAAGAATGGAGTTCTTGTAAAAGAAAGGAACCAATGCTTCTTTTGACCTAATATTCTAAATGTCATTGTAAAGAGAAACCGAACACCAATGTTTGTGATTTTTGTCATGTTTTCTATCATTCTATGCTACAGTGAAGAAAAAAAGAACATTACACCTCATCATTCATGATTAATGGTTTTTTAAATGACAAAGTTGTCAGCCGTCTTGGACCCTACTTTGGTTATATGATCCATTGAAGATGTAATAACTCGAGTTTCCTGTCTTTATGTAATAATACACGGGGTTTTGTTATTTTCTCTAATTTTATAATACTTTGCACCAATTGATGTTCAACGTCCTTGTAATTTGTAGTTATGGCATTATTCTCCCAAGTAGTATAGATTGAGAATCCCCGGTTAATACAAAATCGGATAAAAAGATCACACTATTATTCTCATTTATGATATTTGATTAGAAAATCTAATTAGGGGTCGTTTACCAAACACTTATCCGGTAAGTGCTTAAGGGTAAAATTTAACACTCTTACTTACTTACATGGTAAGATTTTAGTCTATCAAAACGACATTGTATGCAACAATTCACCCGGTAAGCGCTTACCTTGGTAAGAGTCGTCGCCCTCACTTACCGGGTAAGACTCATGGTCCTTGTCTCGCTCTTAACGGGTAAGATTTTTTAGTCCTTATCATATTCATCCGGTGAGGTAATGTGACTTGGTAGGTGCTTACCTGGATAAGTGTTTGGTAAACGGCCCCTTAGTGTATATCAAAATCTTATGGCCATCTATGTCATGATGTGGTTTTGTATTCATGTCACTCATACAACGATACAATGGGCAAGAATATATTTTAATAACAAACTAGATGATATACAATCTTTCAATGTACTAGTAATATTCGATTTGTTTACTTAATATTTCAAGAAATACAGTTATAACTCATTAATGTAATTGATGACACAAAATACAATTAAAATATTCAACTTATACCGCCTTTATAAGTTGGCTTTTTGTATTATTTTTTCTACAATGCTAGCAGTAGTGTTTAAAAAGGTGCTTAACTAGGAATGAGTAGGTGGATTTGATGAACATACACAGTCAAGTCTACGTTGGAAAGGGATAAACATATGATATTTGGCATCACTCTTGTTTTAAACCCCATCACCATCATCATCATCATATATCATTTATGTACGATGTGCCTAATTTGACTAAAAATGCTCATGATGCCTTTGTTGGATGAAAACAATAACTGTGGAGCTAAAGAGGTATTTATGTAGTTAAATGATAAAAGACAAACTACAGATTAAGATTAAAAGGTATTAAGGGATATGTTTATCACTTAAAATTTCAGATGACATTTAGAGCTTTTAAACTCTTGTTTTAGAAATAAAACAAACACTTTTGATACTCAAACGTTTGAACAAATCAAACCATTAAATTCTTAAAAGATTATACATCAATAAACAATTTTTAATACTTAATAACCAATTGTCTTCCTTTAAAAAATCAATGTTTTTAGAAGTTTTTATCAGATGATTATAATATAATATAATATAAAATTATAAATATTTACTGATATTTTTTTTATCAGATGGGAATGAGAAAAAAAGGACAATAATTTGGTTTATTGGGTGGCATTTTAATATCTACTTGTACTCTAGTGCAAGTTGCAAGGGATCATCGGGTTTCACTTCCCATCAAGTGGGGTTTGGTTTGAATGTTAAGTGAAAATGATATGAGGGACTAAAATTGACATAAAGCAAATAGTGTGAGGGTAATCTTGAATTTTATTTCATTCCATTCTTTCTTGTAATGACGATAATACCCAAACCCTTCATGTTTATCAAAAGCCAACTCACCACTCTATATTTATTTTATAAATATAAAAAAAATTATTGTTATTATTGATTATTATAAATAAAAGCATATAAAACAATTTAACATTACATGACAGAATATTGAAAACTCCAACTAGATAGTAACCTCATTCAGTTTCATGTTCAATTGGAGTCGGGTTTGATCATAATAGGTCATACGCTTTATTTTAGTCAAGTTTTGAGGTCGACATTTGTGCTAAAAAACCTCGGGACCAAAATGGGACCATCGATCTTGACCATGTGTGAAGTTATCTCGAACCTAGAACCATCCGTGCATCTATATTTTTACTGGATAAGAGATCTAAGTACTCTACTAGCTTTAAATGTCCTTATATATGTTTTAAATAGTGCATTTATGTATATTGTTATATTATTATTAAATGTATATTCATTGAAAAAATAACATAATCTCTATAAGCACTTTAGGTAGTGTAACAAATTGTCCCACATGGATAGAAGATGGAAATTGTTAGCTTCTTATAAGTCTTAAGTAGTGAGCTACTAATAACTTTCACCATGTTTTAAGTTGGGTTCGAATTATTGGGCTAATTTTTGCTTTGGGAGTTTGGGTTTTGGGGTGTTACATATAGCATATTTGTCTAAACCCTAATAATAATAAAGACATGAAATTTATATCATGATGTGAAGATTATAACTTTTTTGTAACAGACGTTCAATATGTAATATTTATTAACTATAAAAATTAGTGGACCACGAAGGTACCTACTAACCTTCATTAATTTATTTCGGTATATGATTTACGATAAATGTTGTATGTCAAATATTTAAAAATGTATTAATAAAAATATTTTGTATGCTACCATTTTAGTGATAAATGACGATAATATACAAATATGTTATAGTTTTGGAATTTACAATTTCCATGAATGTCCAAAACCAAAAAAGAGAGCCATTTTGTCTGCAAGTTTATTTAAATTGTAGTGTTCTTTTTTCGTTTAGCAATCATAATAAAATATAAATGATATTAAATTGAGTAATGATATTTTTTTAATTATATTTTTAAATATATTATTAGTAAAAAATTATATATTTTCATTCAATTACGTGTTAGAATAAATGTTTTGTAATTATTTATTGACAGGGAAGAATAAATATAAAATAATACTGTAAAATAAGACAATATTTAACTTGATATATAATTGAATATACAACTTTTATTAATGATTAAATGTATGAAAGAAAAAATTTAGAAAAAAATTAGAAAAACTCGACAAACAATCATATTATAAATGATTAAGTTTTTGAACTGTTTTTATGTATGAAAAAATTAAACTTTTTTATTTTAACTTGAAAGAGTATATAAATATAAATGTCAAATTTACGAGAAAACTATGACCGTTTATTGGTGTAATTTATTTTACTCGAATTTTGTTTATTTTCGTCTTTTTTTTAATAAATAAAATTGGGGGGGGGGGGGGGTTGAGGTTTTTTAATTAAAAAAATATTGTTCTAACCACCTATTTACTCGTATCCATTAGATCATCTCATTTAACAGTTAATAATATATTCTCTACTTTTTCATTTATATTGAGTTTTTTCTTGAATTTCTGTCTACATGTGCGTGTATATGTGTGTAAAGAGAGTTGAGTTTCAATGATAATGAAATTTATGGTGAAAATGGTAAGAAGAGATTTCACTTTTTGATGCATATAATAAATGCACTTGATTAATATCTTTATCAAACGAGATTCATGAATGAGTTTGTGAGTTTGAGATTATAAGTGATCAAGGGTCCACATTACTTCTTACTTTAACTTTTTTTTTTCCTCATGCGATCTTTGTTTTTCTCTCTCCCCGTGTGTGTTAGTTATGTAAATACTAAATCTATATGGATGGATATAATAAATTACATTATTGGTCCTTGTGGTTTTTAAATCACAAGATAAATGAATAAAAAAAAAGACTAAAATACCCTTAGAGTTAAAGTCACTTTAACAAAATCATCTAACGGTGTTAGGGTAAAGGGACCAAAGATGTATGTAGAATGTAAACCATAGTAATGTTTCTTTATAATTATTTTGATTTATGGACGTACTATGTGATTTTGTGTAAATTACAAGGACGGAATTTGTAATTTACTCTCTCGGGGGAGGGGGAGTTCCCGCAAGAAATAATCATTTCCATTAAAAGTGAGAAAAATGTAACATTCATATAATATAAATGACCAATTTACCCTCATATTTAACGGAGTGTATTAAGACCAAGGACCAATACCAAAAACAAAGTGTAAATGTTGAGTTTTATAGTAAAAAGGTTGGGGGCAATTTTATAGTTTTCACAAAACCATAGGGTCCAAATCCGTAATCCACTAATAACCATTTTCTTGATTGAAAATGGTCGTCAAAAATCTTGACTTCGCCTTACAGTCTTGAAATCCAAACCCTTCTAAAACCCTAACGTTTTCTGATTCATTGTCTGTGATGCAATTGGCGCCAGAAACACTTTCTTTCTGTTTAACCACAAACAATTCATGCTCCATCGCATCGGACATCAATGTCGATCACTTATTCGTCTTCCCTTTACACCATTAAACCCTTCAATCCTCATTTTAACTAAATCATCATCATCATCGTTGAACTCTGCCCAAGCCCTTGAATTAGAATCTTCAACCGCTTCTTCCGCTACAAACGGCCCCTTGCTTTCTAGTATCCTCTCCTTGTTTAAGGTACTGGGTGGCTCCGCTGTGAAGTTTCTCGGTGTGAAACATCGGTTCAGAACCTTTGTTTCGGGTCTGAGTTCTAGGCAGGTGGACGAGATTATTGAATACTTGAGAATTCAAGACCCGAATTCTGCTGTGGAATTTTTTGAATTGTTGAAGACTGAGTATGGGTTCAGGCATTCGAGAGTTTCTCAGTTTGTTATAGCTCATGTTTTGGCTAGTCAAGGACGGCTTAAGTTGTTGCGTTCAAACCTCTTGCAAATGCTGCAAGAAGAAGGTAGTCTTTCGACGTTGACTTATTATGCATTTTCAGGCTTGAAAAGATAAATAAATGATAGCATTTCATGATTTTCAACTGGATTTGTCGTAAATTTATATTAGTATGCAAAGCAAAAATATTCAATGCATCAGTAGTGGTCATTTAGTACTTAGGAAGCAGAAACAATTAAGCCTCATTGTTTTATGCCATATGTTAAGCCGTCAGTGAACAACCAACTTCCGAAATTTTGTTTTTCTATAGATGGGAAAGAATGCTTGTTATGTGATATCTTTATACATGGAACTTAACATGTAGTTTATTATTTCTTCTAATAGGCTTTGGCTCTGGACCTTTATTTTGTGAGCTGCTTTCAGTTGACTTCAAGGGTTGGGAAGCAAATGCCATTGTTTGGGACATGCTGGCATTTGCTTACTCTAGATCTGAGATGGTTCACGATGCTCTTTTCGTTATAGCCAAGATGAAAGATTTGAATGTTCAGGCTTCAATATTGACTTACAACAGTTTATTATATAACTTGAGGCACTCTGATATCATGTGGGATGTGTACAATGACATAAAAGAGAGTGGAGTCCATGAGAGCAAACAAACTAATTCCATTCTTGTAGATGGTTTGTGTAAGCAGTCGTTGATGCAGGAAGCAGTTACCCTTCTGCGTGGAAAAGACATGAAAGAGTCTTCGCCTCATGTTGCTTCATTTAATACTGTCATGTCAAGTTTCTCTAAAATGGGGTTCATAGATATCGCTCAATCCATTTTTTGTTTGATGTTGAAGTTTGGAGTACATCCTGATACATACAGTTATAATATTCTTATTAATGGTCTATGTTTGGCGGGTTCTATTGAAGATGCATTGAAGTTGACAGATGACATGGATAAGCATGGAGTAGCGCCTGATGCAGTAACATACAACACCCTTGCTAAAGGTTTTCGTGTACTCGGCATGGTAAGTGGGGCATCAAAGATGATTCAGCAAATGCTTACAAAGGGGTTGAACCCTGATAGTGTCATATATACATTGCTGATCTGTGGGAATTGCCAGGAAGGCAAAGTTGAGGAAAGCCTTGATTTGCGAGATGAGATGCTTTCCCGTGGGTATCAGCTAAACTATATCTCATATAGTGTTTTGGTAAGCAGTTTATGTAAGATTGGGCGTGTTGATGAAGCTTTGTGTTTGCTTTCCGAGATGGAAATAGTTGGTTTAAAACCTGATGGTGTTATGTATTCTATCATCATTCATGGTCTCTGCAAACAAGGTGAAATACAGAAGGCAATTCAACTATACATGGAAATGTGCACCAAGAGAATCTTTCCTAGTATTTTCACTCACAGAGCTGTTTTATTGGGTCTCTGTGAGAATGGACCACTATCTGAGGCAAGGATGTACTTTGATATGTTAACTAGCAGTGATGGTATTCAGGATATTGTTCTTTACAATATTATGATCAATAGATATGCAAAACTCGGCATGATTCGTGAGAGTGTACAGTTGTACAATCAGATATTAGAGAAAGGGATTGATCCAACTATTGTCACCATCAATTCTTTAATATACGGGTTCTGCAGAACTAGACAACTAACTGAGGCAATTAGGTCATTTGATAGCATTAGGGATCATGGATTACTACCTACTGCTATCACATACACTACTCTTATGAATTTTTTATGTGAAGAGGGAAATATACCAGCAATGTTTGATTTGAAACGGGAAATGGAAGCTAGTGCTGTAGAACCAACTCATGTTACGTACACAGTTATTATGAAGGGTCTTTGTAAACAAAGGAAACTGAAAGAATCTTTGCTACAGCTTGATAACATGTTCTCACAGGGTTTGTCTCCTGATCAATTCTCATACAACATTCTCATTCAATGTTTCTGTGAAGCACGAGAATTTCCAAAAGCCTTTGAGTTACATGATGAAATGATATTGCACGATCTTAAGCCCGATGCTGTTACATATAACATTCTTATTAATGGTCTATGTGTATATGGTGATTTACAGGATGCTGATAAGTTATTCTCATATCTACGGGAGCACAATTTTGGATTAAAGAAAGCTGCTTATACCACGCTTATTCAAGCACATTGTGTAAAGGGGGATGCATATCAAGCAATGGCACTCTTCTCTGAAATGGTCAAGATGGGGTTCCAAGTAACCATTAGAGATTACAGTGCTGTTATCAATAGATTGTGCAAAAGATGTTTAACAAATGAAGCAAAGGTTTTTTTCAGTATGATGCTTTCCAATGGCGTCTCTCCTGATCTTGGCGTTTATACAGTGATGATGTATGCATTGCGTCTAGTGGGTGATCTCCATTCAATGCATGAGTTACTCCCTAATATGGTCAAATGTGGCTTAGGGCCTATTTGTTAGCTGCTTAATGAGACTCACAACTTATTTGGTCAACTATACATGATTGTTTGGTAGTGGCTTAATGAAATAGAAAGTGTCTTATTCGGTAAGCTTTTAGGAGGAGCTTTATGCATAAAGCCTAGTTTTTTTCTAAACCTGTCCCTCCCAATTAAAAAACACACTCCTTCCATCTGTGAGAAAACCCTCCGACACAAAAACCTTCTCAATCTATAGAGTCAGATTAATCCACACAAACAGCTTTATCCATACAAGACTTTGTGGAAAATCAACCAAACAGCCCCTTAGATGCTTGTTGAATTAATGTAAGGGATCACTCACATACTTTTTCGGATCAGCAAGATCATCTTCTGATGCATTACAAGCTAGGTACTTAATTTATTTTGCATTTTACTGCATTTAAATAAAGCTCTTGTTAAATTTATTTGTGTATATGACTATATCCAAGTGAGAGGTCAATGTATTTTATGATATGTAGGCATCAGGCACCAGGTTACTCGTTGTAGTTTATTTTTCATGCCCATTGTCTATATGAAATTAGTTTGTGATCTAACACAGCCATCAAAACGTACCTTTTTTATTCCTCTTGATGTTTTTGTTCTTCTCTTTGTTACATCTACACTTATATCACCAACAATATCCGTCAACGTTCCAGAGTCTTCCATCTCCACCTGCAGTTCTGTTGTGTTGCTGCTGTCATCCATATCATCACTGCACCATCATCAACACTTTTTCCAGCAACTGCTACTCCCACACCACTCTGGCATCATCGTCACTACATCTATTCCCATCTCAATTACAACTACCATCCATTTTGGATACATGCTCTACAATCACCCGCTTCACCATCTATTCACAACCTACTTTCCAATCAAATTTCATTGCCGCCACCATCTTTTCAATGCTGCTTAACTACAACTACTACCGCACAACAGCTCCAACATTATAATTCATCAATTAATTTTATTAATTTACTGTCATCATCACCCATACTATTTGACACTCCTTTTACCACTTACAACAATTAGAACCACAACCTCTACAAAATCGGCATGTTATGTTTCTTAACAATCTTTTGCCTTTGAGGATGATTATTTGAAGTTGAATAGCATTTTGAACACGTTTCTAACACCCCCCTCCACAAAAAAATACATATACATATATCCCTTTTGATGTGTTCAAGGAAATTGCTGGTGCCAAATCATTTTGGAAAGTCCTCCCAAAGTCTTTTTAGTTACAGCCACAGAAAATTTAGTCTCAACAAATCAATGGTTCATTACTTCTTTGTTTAGAAGACCCAAGCTTGAAGGGGCTCTATACAAAGATATATGGCCAGCTTATGCTATTTTCACTGACATGACATGTATCATGACATACTAAATTGCTTGATCTAGAATCTATAGATGCTTTGCAGCTCTTTTTTACACAACAAGACCACCACTTCACTATTTTTAAAGCATAATCTTCTTTTACTTGACACTTGCTGATTGATAACTGTAAGTTATAACATTCTATCTAAAAGTAGCATGCATCATCTTGTTTTAAAAAGGTTTGAAATAGAATGGAGCTCCTATTGTATATCATGGCTCCACTTTGCTGCTGTGTTTTTTTATTTGGTATTACCTGTTGGAAACCGTAAATGGAACATCTCACACAATCATTGATTTAGTCTATTTTTCATCATATGACCTTCTATGAAAAGGAATGCTAAAAGTAAAGTGAGAGGGAGAACATTTCTTGTGAAATAGGAATTGGAATTGTTATAGTTTATATGGTTTTAGTTTCTGTTGATACTCATGCACTAAATACCATGTCTCTTGTTGCATATTCTTACAAGGGTCTAGTCATTGTAGCTATGTGTGTGACGTTGGAAACTTGTCTGAAACCATATTTTGGGCGTTTATTAGTTTTGTTTGTTGGAAAATAATCTTAATATGCTGATTCTCATTGTTCTGTTTAGAGTGAAAGAAGACTTCTCCATGAACAGCCCTAGTTGCTGGTTCTGGTGATTTGTTAGCACAAATGCTCAGCAAACTGGCATAGGGTAAAAGGTATTGCTTTCACCGTTTTATTCCATTAACTTTATTCATTCTACAGATTTCTAAATATCTTAATTCTAACAGAGCAAGATCCATCAAGAAAGAGTGGGCAAGATGCACCTGTAGATTCAGTAAGTATGACAGCCAGGAAGAGCAATGCCACTGATATCTGCTGTGGTGCTCTCTGGAGCCCTACTATTGGTTACCAGACTTGTTTAGGGGGCTACTGTGTCATTCTCTATTTCTTAGTAGGTATATAGTGTTGCCCTTTCCTCTTATATAGATATAGCATTCAATCTATTAGTGTCTCTCATCAACTAGACACGGACCATCAAACCTATATATGTGTAGGAACTCCCCTCTCTCTATAAGGGCTCTTTTAGAAAAAAAACTTAAGAGGGGTTCTACATATCCTCACAAGGTATCAGTGGCGGGGTCTACCATCATCTAGGGACTTGACACACTCTTTCGCCTCTGTTCTCGGGGGCATCGTCTAGCCTCCATTTGAGGAGGCATGTTGGAGTTCCACATCGGCTAGACACGGACCATCAAAACCGTATATATGTTGGAACCTAACCTCTATCTATAAGGGCTCTTTTAGAAAGAATTCAAAGGGGTTCTACATATCCTTACACGATCAATACAACAACTATGGATTTCACCAATCAGCTCTTTAATCTCGGTCCTAATCTATGAAATGAACAGAAGATATCTGTTCTTATTTGTTTTTGAAGTCCTTCTGTTCATATACTAGCAACCTTTCTCAACCAAGCTATTGTGGTGTTATTGTCACTCTTATTTGTCTTCTTGAGAAGCACACATGTACATCTAAAATATATTTTTAAAAGCATTTGATGCTGTTTTTGTGACTTCACTTTGGTTTTGGAAGGATTCTTAATTTTTCTTATATTTCGCGGATTAGGCCCAGTTGTAACAATCACGCTCAAGAAATCCCCAAATTACCAATTTTATTAAAATGTCCAATAAAATATAAATTATTGATTGCTAGGACCAAAAATTTATCTTAATTATTCTAAAAGTTTTATCAAAATAATCGGGGCCAAGGATGGAAAATCGGAAGATCTTGCTGAAACGACCAAGTCTGGAGGAAGACCAGAGCCCCTATGGACCAGAGGCAGGCGATAGACCAGAGGTTGCTGAAATAACTAAGTCTGGAAGAGGACCAGAGCCCCTATGGACCAGAGGCAGGTGATGGACCAGAGGCTGCTGAAATGACTAAGTCTGGAAGAAGAGCAGAGCCCTTATGGACCAGAGGCGATGAATTGGTCCAGAGGCGATGAAAAT